AGAAAAGTGTTTAAGGTTAAAATCTTAATTTTTTATAGAAAGAATCTCTAAACATTAATCATAAATTTACGTTACATTTCTTTTATTCTATTTTTTTCACACAAAGTGTTAGTTAGCCTGTCTGGAGGGCTTGAACAGTTTTAGCATTTATTCATTTCCAGAGGAAAGAAAATCTTTTACTTAGTTCACTTAATGATTCATTTGTTAACATTTATTTTCACCTCTTCAGTTGAAGAAGAAAGAGGAGTACTTCCTATATTTTGAACTGATCCTAATCACGATAACTTTGAAAGATAATACAAAAAGTAAAAACTTTGGTCAGTTATTTCTTTGTTTAACATTAGAGCCTGTCAGAGGCGGAGCCAGAGGTGTGGCCTGGCACATGATTGGCCACCCCAGGTGCCACCCACAAATAATTAACAGGCAGGAATCTTAAAATCTGTGTTTGCACTTAGAATAAGTTAAAGATTATTCTCTACTACTGTGTATTATATAGATTTTCATCTGCATGTGTTCAAAAATTATAGCCTTTTGTAAAATTAGCATTAGCAGTTAGCTTAATTTGCATTTAGCATCAGCATGTGTTCATTCTTAGCTACTCCACAAAAATTCTATCTCAGTAAGTCTTAAAATGGCTGAATTAGTGTTTTGAAGTTAAATTTTCTTTATTTGTATTTGCCCTCCTAATACCTGCCCCCCTGCAGAAAAACCTAGCTCCGCCCCTGGAGTCTGTTCATTTAGCTTTAAAGTGAGCCACATCTGTAGGAAAATGTATTTGTTGAGCTGATGGTTGTAAATGAAACAGATTTTCAGATCTTGTTGGAACCATCTGGTTGTGCAGATAGTGACCACCTGGTGCCTGCTGGTACCAGATGTTGACCACCTGGTGCCTGCTGGTACGAGGTGTTGACCACCTGGTGCCTGCTGGTACCAGATGTTGACCACCTGGTGCCTGCTGGTACCAGGTGTTGACCACCTGGTGTCTGCTGGTACCAGATGTTGACCACCTGGTGC